TTTTATTTGGTAGCTACTGTACTAATATGTACTGTGTCAATCTATGATCCAGCTACAAACAAAAAAGCATAGATTTTTTAAGAGTTTGCTATATAACAACGCACTAAGGATACTCCTAAGAAAATCAAGGTCATGTAGTGCCAGTCTCTTGTGGTGTCCCGTCATTTTATGAGTATATTAGAAATTCAGTACATGGGTTTATGTGCCGACTCTATTTATCGGAAAACAGTCTGATAAAATCCACTGTTAATCATCTAATTGAAAATTCAAAAATGATACTAAAATGGAAATATTTATTATACATTAAGATGATTACTATTGAAACTTGTAAAATAGGCCAGACCTATTTTATTTTTGTGTTGTTGCATCTGCTAGTTTATGTAAGCCTGAGACAAATGCCTCAGTGTATACGTACATATTCTCCTCTATTTCAATCTCATTTGCTTTGTATTTGTTTTGCTATGGACATTGTCTGAAATAGAGAGAAATTGAATTACACGAGGTACTTTCACACGGGCCGTAAAATGTTACTTTTGGTTACATTTGGTAAGATTTTTGTATGTGTGAATCGGGTGCTATACCTACCCAAAAACGTGAAATTGTCCTGTTAATAGGGGGTTTTTTTGCTTGTTTTGCATATAACAGTGACAGAACATTGGTTATAATTATATTTTTATTGACACATCCAACCAATCTTGTCAAGGTTTACTCATAACCATGGGAATTTCTTTTTTTTTCTTTGTGTACTTTCAATAGGATTCTAATCTATATCACAACATGCACCCTTTTTTGAGTCGTTACTGTATTGTGTTTCCTGAATAGGGATATCCCTATGTGCTGAAGGTGTCCCCTTAATAGGGACTCTACTGTATATCGAAGTACTGTAGGCATATGTGTCTTGTAACAACAACATAATATTTGATAAGCATACTTATTAAAAAATTAATTACCTAAAGCAGCTTCTCAATTTTATTTTCACGATTTGTTGATTTCCATTTGGTTGCTAGCACCTTTGTCATGTTTTGATTACATAATGCCCACTAATTTAGCTAGTAGGCACTTAAAAGTGTAAATGCCCCTCAATAGTATACAAATAAGGAGCCGAGGATGTGAATGAGTGACACAGCACTGTGGAGTTTCTAAAACTGTATCACAAGTCCAAAACAAATATTTCTGTGTTTTTTGAAACACAAACACTACGGTATTCAACAAACGGCGGTCTGACTGAGATTATAGTACACCGCCGGCGCAAATTGAAGACATTAGCCAACATTTTATAAAAAAAAATGTTTTGTTTCGATATTTTCACGGGAATCTCATAATTTTTACAGTATTTAATTTTAACAATTCAGATTTTCTGTATAATTTTTTTTGAGATCCAGATGCGATCGACGACCCGACCTTGGGTCACGAACATGGTCCGTCGACCGTAGATCTAATGATTTTATGCCGGTTAATACCTGTCTCTTATACACATCTAGATGTGTATAAGAGACAAGTACAGAGGTTAGGCATACATAGTGTGTAAATAAAAGCAATTTGGCAACATTCCCGCAAGTCCCAGATAGTGATGATAAAGTCTCATAACGGCAGCGTAAACGCCTGTGTCTGCTGGACAAGTGCGTACTATTGGCCCCCTTCTGATTGGTCACTTGTTAAGTTTGATTTACAAGGTTTGTAAGGATTTTTTTTATACTTTAGCTATTTTTTGGCATAGATATAATACTGTCTCTTATACACATCTAGATGTGTATAAGAGACAACATCAGACAATCATCTTCAAAAGCAATCTGCCTTTCAATCTTCTACATTTTTAATAAAGCATATAAAAAGGGCCAACTAGTGGTTACATTTCGAAATAATACATTAATGTACCACAACAGCATGGAGACTGTGATAATAGTGAAAGCCACGATTAGGCTAAATTGATCGACTCTGAAAGGGTATATTAATAATAAGAATACTGTAATAATAACAATTTGCTATTCAATTGAAGCTTTCCATAAAATCGCTACGGTATTTTTCACTCTAATCGCTTCACTATCTAGCTGTCCGTAACGCAATCGGAAAGACTCAGTAACGATAGCATGTAGCGAATTTATGGAAACTACCCTTAAGCGATTCAAATATTACAGAACCATCCCTCCATTGCCCAAACATCGGATTACATAGTCGTTTCCAGTTGAGGCACTTAATGGGATGGAGACCATGGGCCCTCGTCAGCTGACCCCTCCTCCACTTCTTCGGGGAAATTATTTGGAGAAGAAAACAAAGTCTTGGCGGTACAATGCATATTGACCTTGCGGGCGACACTCTTCGTAGTAGTGACCATCAGTTTGCTTATAAGAGTTGTCATTCTACTGAAACATTTGTGTTTGTTCTGAAACAAGTCATTGAGTTTTATAATAGGAACGGTAGTCCTGTTTTTGTTTGTTTTTTAGATTCAAGTAAGGCGTTCGATCGAGTGAACTATTGGATCTTGTTTAATAAGTTGATTGCTCGGGGTATTAACTATACTGTAACTCGAATTCTTATCAGTTGTATATAACGCAACAATTTGTTGTACGGTGGGGTAACAAGTACTCATTTGAATTCTCTGTTTCTAATGGGGTCCGACAGGTAGGCGTAATTTCACCGCTTCTATACAATGTATATACGGTAATGATTCTCTAAACGAAAAGCTTAATAATTGTGGTGTTGGATGTCAACATGCAGATATGGTTTTTAATCACCTTAGCTATACTACTGATGATATCGTATTACTATCTCCATCTTTATGTGGGCTTCAAAGGCTACTTAATGTGTGCGAAGCTCATGCTTCTACTCATGATATTTTATTTAACTGTAAAATGTCGATGTGTATTTGTTTCTGTCCGAAGGCTCCAGGGTGATCCCGTTACTACCCTATGTGGCAAACGTTTAAATTAGGCTAAGTCGTTTACATATTTAGGCCACGTAATTACAACTGATCTGAATGATGATTTTGATATATCACGACAATATAGTTTTATATATATATATTGTTTTGCTATGGACATTGTCTGAAATAAAGAGAAATTGAATTGAATTGAATTGAATAGGATTCCCGCAAACAATTCATCAATCACAAAACGTTATGGCTATAAAGCTGTGTACGCTGCATGGGGTTAGGCAATGTTGGAAAAGACGTTAACACAGCGTCGCAGCAATGTATTTACTTTGAAATACAAATATGTATTTAGGGTTCTTCAAAAATGTTTTGAACATTAAACTGTGATGTTATTGTACCGTATTGATAGCTGGGGAAAGAGATCCCGACAGTCAGTCTTCTAAGTCCATCTGCGCATGTGCTTCATTTACGCTTATACGTCATGTATACAAAGACAGACCTACATGAAAATTTAAAATTAATGAAACAAAAAACAAAATCGTCAGCACAAAAATCAGATAGGCAGAGGCATGATACAGTTTGCTTTTATATCGCCACTATTCCCGACAAGCCTTACAGATACCCCTGCCAACAGTCAATCAATCAGTCATTCAATCGATCAGACAGTGTTAGTCAGGCAGCCAATTAATCAATCAAACAACCAATCAATCGTCAAAAAAATTGCAGGAGCGCCAAATACACCTCAAGCAATATTCGATGGCGCTGTGATAATTGCTAGAATACTGTGGATCAAAGATTTGCAGATTTGCATGGGGAGGGGATGGTGCATGTGTACATTGGCTCCCACCTTCATCAGAAAAGGGTTTATTCCAACAAGAACCTCTGTTATACTATAGCGTATTCTGAAATTCAGAAAACCAAAACTAAAAAAAAAACCTAAAATCTCAAGATGGCCTACAAGAGTGTAATAGTCAGAACAAGTCCATTGAATTGCCTTAGTCCGACGTATGATAAGCCTGTGTGCTTAAACCCGACAGACGTAGTCGGCGAAACATGATCGTTCATTTTCCGAAAACAATTTATCTACCGGACCGTATTCCACTTGAAAACCAGCAGTAGTTTTACATTATAGAGGATCTGTGATTATAGTTAGGTTATTTTTTAATGCCGAGAATGATTCTGTTTCTGGATGTTTAAATGTGTAATTACTCAATACTGTATGTTAAACGTATCTTGACAAATGTAGGCAGATAGGTATTTTCAAGTTGACTAGAATGACTAAAATGTCTGAGTTTTATTGATATTTTCATCAAAAAACGCTTAACCCAACTGTATTTTCATAAAATTATTTATTTGTACATAAATAAATATACAAAATTAATGTAGTAGTACGTACCCTTTAGTTCATTTCCGTTTCACTTTTTGAGGGCGATCAGTTGTTTAAAGAAAAGTATCCTTGGAGTTAACAGTTTAGATAGTTTAATGTTCTAGTACAAATCACTCGAACGTATTTGATTATGTGTGTTATGATTTAGAATTAAAATTCACAAAAACAAAAGAAATCCAAGACACGGATTGGAAACACATTTTGTTGATTAACTTTTCAATCCAAAAATCTTTAAATGGATTACAAGATAATTTAAGAATATAGTGGCTGGTTCTGGTTCTATAATGAAAATTTGGTAACTTACTTTAATACGCAAGTTGAGCAAATCACATATTGAATATGTGCCGTACGTATTATTACTAAACCTTCAAGCGATGCTATTATTTATTAAGGATGAATAAAATAACCAGAATGTTCCGTTCATGTACAACAACAGATAGGTGATAATGCTGAGTAGTTGAAGGTGTATCTAATCCGTAATACTTACTACAAACACGGTATTATTTCTATCTAAACTCATTTCGTTTGCATGTCTTTTCAAAACATGGTTAAACAAATAAAAGAGAGGAAATCCCTGGAAACATGTCTCAAAAGAGAAGAGCAATTAAACCACACAGGCAAACATCAATCAATGTAAACATCAAAAGGAAACGAATACAGTACAGAGGTTAGGCATACATAGTGTGTAAATAAAAGCAATTTGGCAACATTCCCGCAAGTCCCAGATAGTGATGATAAAGTCTCATAACGGCAGCGTAAACGCCTGTGTCTGCTGGACAAGTGCGTACTATTGGCCCCCTTCTGATTGGTCACTTGTTAAGTTTGATTTACAAGGTTTGTAAGGATTTTTTTTATACTTTAGCTATTTTTTGGCATAGATATAATATGTGTTTTTATTGGTATTTTATTGTATGGGAATTTATAGTTGTTCGGCCATATGTGTAGTCTAGGCTTGTGCGTGCCAATACAGTTTTCGTTGTTGCTTTGTATTTTATTTTTGTCCCCTAACATATCTATTAGTGCACTTAAATACACGTGATGACAATTACTATTTTGACCGTTGATTCGCCTGTCTTTATCCCATCGTTTAAGTCCGATGAAGCATTGTGGATCCTTTAGTTACATTTTATTGATTACTGTTTGACCGCCTATGCGAGACATTCTTAAACAACATAATCCCGTTGCCATGCTTTTAAACCTGTGTTGACCAAGGTGACTCCCATAGCAACCACGCTATCAATAGAGCAGACGATGGAATCTCTTGCAAAATGTCTCCTCATAATTATATAATTGTAACAATTTGATTACTGTAGTAGCGGGGAGATAATTTTAGTTACTGCAGAATGCGTCACCGCTTAGATTACAAGTGAGTAGCGCATATTTCAATTCATGACGTTGACATGTATTGCAATATCAAAATTCAGTGGCAAAACTGTGGGTGGGTGGGGGGGGGGGGGG